CATTTAAAGAAGAATTAATACCTATCCTTCTAAAACTATTCCAAAAAATTGAAGAGGAAGGAATGCTTCCAAACTCATTCTATGAGGCCAGCATTACCCTGATGCCAAAACCAAAGAGATTACCAAAAAATAAAAAAATTTAAAAAATTACAGGCCAATATTCCTGATCAACTAATATGAAAAAATTCTCAATAAAATATTAGCAAACTGAATTCAACAATAGATTAAAAAAATATACACAAATATCAAGTGGGATTTATTCCAGGGAATGCAAGTTTTGCTTAACCTCTGTAAATCAATCAACGTGAAACATCAATAAAACCAAGGATAAAAGTCAAGTAATCATATAAATAGATGTAGATAAAGCATTTGGCAAAATTCTTTTTGATCCATTTATGATAAAAATTCTCAACAAAGTGGGTATAGAGGGAACTTGCCTCAGCATAATGAAGGCAACGTAATATATGGCAAACCTCCAGCTAACATCATAATGGTGAAAAGCTGAAAGCTTTTCTTCTAAGATCAGGAATAAGGCAAGGATACCTACTCTCATCACTATTTATTATTCAATATAGTATTGGATGTCCTAGCCACAAAAATCCGACAAGGAAAAGAAATAAAAGGTATCCGAATTGGAAAGGAAAAAGTACAGCTGTCACTATTTGCAGATGACATGATACTATATATAGAAAACCCTAAAGACTCCACCAAAAAACTATTAGAACTAATAAATGAATTCAGTAAAGTTGCAGGATATGAAATTAATTTATAGAAATCTGTTGCATTTCTACACACTAATGATGTGGTACACATACACACACACATACAATACTTAGCAATAAATGCAATAAAATCTTGCCATTTGCAAGCACATGGATGGATCTAGAGGGTATTAAGCTAAGTGAAATAAGTCAGAGAAAGACAGATATATGATTTCATCTGTATGTGGAATGTAAAAAAACAAACAAAAAAATTCACAAAAAGACTCATAGAGAACAAACTGATGATTGCCAGAGGGGAGGAGGATGTGGGGATGGGTGAGAATGGTGAAGGAGAATAAGAGGTACAAGCTTCTAATTATAAAATAAATAAGCCATAGATAGAGATGTAGTGGGTACATGGGGAATATAGTCAATGATATTATAATAACTTTGCACAGTGACAGGTGGGTACTACTAGACTTAGTGTGGTGATCACATCATGAGGTATATAAATGTCAAATCACTATGTTGTACACCTGAAACTACATAATATTGTATGCCCACTTTAATAATTTTTTTTTCAAAATGCTAAACACAAACTTGCCTGACTTAATAAGATTTCAGCCCAGAATCCAATTTGGGATCCAGAATATCTTTTTCATGGAGCATAGGAACTTAAAGTAACACTGCTTAAGGCACTTTATAAATTTTCTAAGTGCTTTCATTCAATTATTTCATTTTACATCATGACTTCTTTACTTTCACAACTTAGAAATTTGAGAAAAGCAAAAGAAAGCAGTGGAGATGACAGCAAAGCCAATTCCTAGAGTAACTGGACTGGAACTTCATTTTTTATTGGTGAATTTCAGCATACATCCTTCACTCAGACCATGGTCTGGAAGAATACTTTGCCCTGGAGTAATTCAGCCAAACAGATCAAGTTAGTAGTGAGTGTAATTTTGTATCCGATTTTGTAAGTGGTGCCTTTTGTGAGTTGGGGAAAGAATAACTAATGGAAAATAAATATTTTCTCTTTAAGGAATAGATAACAATAACAGTTGAGGAGAAGGATGTCTAAAATCCTAAATTTAAATATTTTTATATTTTAATTTCCTGACCTGATAATTTGTGATTAAAGTTGTATTTATAAAAATGTAAACATCTATTTGAATTACTCTGATTTCAATAAAACTGGTTATGAGATGTCATTAGAAAGAAACATTGATGTCATCAGTAGTAATAATAATGGTAATAAATGCTAACATTTCCTAAGAGCTTGCTGTGTGCTAAGTGCTTTGTGGGTGTTAACTCTTTAATCCCTAAGTTAGAGCTGCTCCTGAATCAGTCTTCCCTGAAGAGTCTCAAACTTTAATCTGAAATTAGAGTACACTATATAATGTTTAGTAATAATGTCGAACACAAAGGGAAAGAATTTTGAGAATGAGTTATATATTCCAAAATAACATTTCATAGCCTCTGTGTACCAATATGTATAACACTTATATAAAATGAAAGTTTAAAAATAAACCATATCATGTTTAATCCATTGTTTTGCACACACACACATATACATTTTTACAACAGTGGGATCATGATACATATACTCTTAACAAATAAACTTTATTTTTAGAATAGTTTTAGATTTATAGAAAAGTTGCAAAGATAGTACAAAGAGTTTTCATACCCATTCATCCAGTGTATCCTGTTATTAACATCTTAATTAGTATGCTACATTTGTTGCAATTAATCAACCAATATTAATGGTGAACTAAAGTCTTTTTTTTTTTTTACTTATTTCCTTACTTTATTTTACTTATTTCCATAGTATTTACCTAATATCTTTATTCTGTTCCAGGATCCCATCATAACATTATATTTAGTCATGTCTCTGGTCCCTCTTGTCTGTGACTTTGCTTGTTTTGGATATCCTTGACAGTTTTGAGGAGTGCTGCTCAATTATTTTGTGGAATGTTCCTCAATTGCAATTTGCCTGATTTTTTTTTTCATTATTAGACTGGGGTTATGGTTTTTTGGGAGGAGACGACAGAGGTAAAGTGCCATTTTCGTCACATCATGTTAGGAATACATACTTGATCACCTGGCTGAAATATTGTCAGTTTGTGCACTATAAAGGCCTACCTGCTATACTGTTCTCTTTGAAAGGAAGTATGCACAACCCACACTTAAGGAGTGAGGTGTTGCACTTCACCTCCTTGAGCTGGAGTCTCTACATAAATTATTGGGAATTTTTCTGCAGGAGGGATCTGTCTACTCCCCCTGCCTTTATGTACTTGATCGTTTGCTTATATCAGTATTGACTCATGGATATTTGTTTTATATTTTGGGTTATAATCCATACTCCCCGCCCCCATGCTTTATTTTCCCAGTAAAATGCTGTAGACAACTTGTAAAGTCTAGAGGTGAACATCATAACTTTTAGAGATTATATAGTATGTATTTAACCAATCTTCTACTGATGCACATTTTTGCTTCCACGTTTTCCTTACTGCCAACAATGATGGAGTAACATTCTTGTACATTCATTTATGTGTACTCGTGTGACTAATTTTAGTTTATTCTTCTAATCCCATCCCTAAGACACATTATACTTAAGTTATATTCCCTGCTCCTCAAGCACACCCTATTTTTCTTAAGCTTACACTATTTTCTCTACCTAGAATGCTCTTCCCCAGTCCCTGCCCACTTCACTTTGTTGAACATGCATTGTAACACTTATCATCTGAACCTCCTATTCATCCCAGGACTTTTTCCTATTAGTTTATGAACTGGCAGAAATATGAACAAGCACACTCAACTCTGTACTCCATCACAGTGGTGGGCACATAAAATAGCATATTTTGACTTTCAAGTGATGAATCTGAGTAATTGAGAAATTAAGTGTGCTCCATATTGCATAGCTAGTTAACTCTTCCTTTCTTATACATACATTGCTGTTCCATGCTTCAGGGAGACAGGAGTTGCACATAGGTGTTAGTTTTTGTTTTAAGTGCAAACAACTGTGTTGTAGTTTAAAAGTAATGTTTTCTAGATGTGTGTCAGGAAGGTTTATTTGAAAACTTTGGTATTACAGTCTGTCTTCCAAATTGAGCATCTTCAACGTGCTAAGTATCCATAGAAAATTGTATTGTATGTGAATGCAGGAGAAATGAAGTAATTAAATAAGGCCTCTGATGCTTCCGACTTCCTTTTTAAGTAAGCAGGTGGCATAATGTTTCTTACATGTTATAATTAGTAATTAGAGGTGAATGCCAAAAAACAAAAGAAAAACAAAAGAGAGAAAATGTTTATTTGGTTGTGAGGCTGTTAGTGAGCTGAGGCGAAAGATCCCATACTGTTGTCCTGCTGACCCACCAAGCCGGCACCTAGGAGGCGACGCACCCCTTCCGATAACACTTTGAGGCGGGGTGACCTACACATCTGTGACCCCCAAGTGGGGAGCAGGAGGGCCCGCAGTAGGCGCGCGCGCAGATACAGCTACTCGCAGGCACCTGAGTCCCCTCTCTGCTGGGGGTGGGGAGGTGGTGGGGAGGTGGGCCCCGCCTCCGCTCTCCCGAAGCCCAATCATCTGGAGACTCTGGGCACGCCCCGCTGCCGGCCACGCCCCTAGCCGGTGGGGCGGGGGGCGTCTTTAGGAGCCGGCCGCGGCCCCGGGTCCATAGGGGTGCGGGGCTGTGGACTGGGAGGCCCGAGCGCTGAACCTTGAGACTCCTGCGCGCCTCCGCTTTCCTCGCTGCAGCCTCCGCGCCCTACGCCGCCCGCCCACCGGGGGCTCCACAGCGGTCGCCTCGGCCTCACTAGCCCGCCCGCCGGGCTCTGGGCAGCTCCTCCGGGAGCCCTCTGAGAACTCGCGCCCCTCGCGCTCCCCCGGTGCTCGACGGGGCCGCCTAGGGCCATGGTGCCCTCGCCGGCTAAGCCAACCGCTGCTGAGCGGGAGACGAGCGAGACAGAGTCACTCGACCCCGCGCCCATGGGGGCCACTCCGCTGTCCGGCCTGGGACCCTCAGACGGCCCCGAGGCTGCCGCCGAGAAGGTGGAGGTAGAGTTGGTGGGGCCGGCGGGCGCCGAGCCCCCTCAGCCTCCCGAGGGCGGCTGGGGCTGGCTGGTGATGCTGGCGGCCATGTGGTGCAACGGGTCGGTGTTCGGTATCCAGAACGCCTGCGGGGTGCTCTTCGTGTCTATGCTGAACACCTTCGGGTCCAAGGACGATGACCAGATGGTCTTTAAGACAGGTGAGGCGAAGCGCCCGCCGCGGCCAGTCCAGGGGGACAGGCGCGGGCCCCCTGAGCGCATCCCGCTTGCTGAGTGTGTGTTCGCGCCCGCGTGTGCTCCTAGGAGGGCCCCTGTGTGCTGGAGGGTGTGAGATGGGGGGTCTGTCCAATTGCAAACGCAGCTTGCCCCCCCCACCCCCCACCCCCCGGGGCCTCGTGAGCCTGTCTTTGTATTGAATCCAGATGTGTGTTTGGAAACAAGTCGCAGAACTTATTTGCCCAGATCTTCCTGCTTTCCTCTCAGCAGAGCAGTCTACGGTAGACTGACCTCTTAATTTTTGAAAACAAACCTTCCAAACCTAACACCGAACTGTCATTTTTACGGTCTATTTCATGACCATGACAAGTTGCGTTTTTGTTCATTTG